AAGGATCCAGGGAGAAACAAGGCACAGGTGTCCCTGTTGTTTACAGACACCAGGCAACCAAAGCAGGCCCTGGCCAGGCTGCCCATGTTCCAGGGAGGTAACAAGGTCTCCATGAGCCACAGAGCTGGGGCCAAAAGCGCTCTAATTCCAATTGATAGGGGAAGGAATAGCCCACAAACCAAGATCCAAGTTCTTTTCCTATCTTACCAGGCATCAGGAAGCCAGGGCGCACGCCTGTGATCCCAGTCCTCAGGAGGCTGAGGCAGGAAGATCACTTCGAGTTCAAGGACATCCTGAAATAGTGAGACCTTGTCTCGAAAAGCAAACAAACAAGCAAGGGTGGCATTAGGGAATCTGCCTATTACTCTCCAAGCACCTGTCCTTACTGGAATTTAAATACAGGAGTTTTAGGGAGGAGACCCAGCCCCACCTCCTGCTGCTGAGAAAAGCAGTTGAAGAACCCCATACCTAGGAGCCTCCCAGAGGCCTCTTCTGGGGAACTTTCCCCTCATCACAGGAGCACTGGCATTTTAACTCTGGCGTCCTGGGTAGCAGCTGCTCTCTAACAAAACCACCCCAAATGCTGTCTGTTGGAGGGGAGTTGGGTCCTCCAAAGAGATACATTTCCTTTTCTTTTGTTTTTTTTCTTTTTTTTCTTTTTTTTTTGTAGTCCTGGGATAGAACCCACTGAGCTACATCCCCAGCCCCTTTTTATTTATCACTTTGAGACCAAGTTTCCTTAAGTTGCCCTGGCCAAGACTCGAACTCGAGATCCTCCTGCCTTAGTCTTCTGAGTTACGGGGCTGAATGTCACTACTGTACCTGGCTCCTAAAAAGATACCGCTCTGTCCGAACCTCACTGTTTTAGAGTGTGATGGTGGAGGAATGGGGTCACTGTACACATCATTGCTTGAGGAGAACCAGGAGGGATGATGCCCTAATCCAGTTTGCCCGACTGGAGAGAGGTAGGGGATTTGGACAGAGCGACTCAGGATGCAGGAGGGAGGCAGAGGCGGAGACCAGAGGGACAAATTACAAGCTGAGGGTGCCAGTCGCTGCCTACAGCCACCAAAAGCTCAGGCTGAGGCTTTGAGAAAATTCCCCCTCAAGCTGGGAAGGAACCAACCCTGCCAAACCCTTGATTTCGGACTCCAGCTCCAGAACTGCGAGAGAACAGACTTCTGTTTTACCCAGTGTGGTCTCCTGGCTACTGGGAGGCCCTGGAGAGCAGCCCTAGCCTCTCTCTCTCTCTGTCTCTCTCTCTGTGTCCCTCCCTTCTGTACTGGGGATCGAACTCGAGACCTTGCACTTTTGAGGCAGGCGCAGTGCCACTGGGGGCCCCAAGAAAAGCAACCCTCGCAGCTGGGCGCCCAATTCCAAGTCCGTGGGGATGCGAAGGCCAACCTGGAGGGAACCAAGCAGAGTGCCCAGCGCCCCAAAGCACCCCAGGAGACACCAGCCCACCACTGCTTTGCACAAGGGCACCATCCTTTCACATGACAAGGAGACCGAGGTAGGTGGCGGCTGGGGTTGGCACGGAGGCCTGACGATGTCTTCAAGGACCAACTCTCCCCTCTGGTTTTCTGTCCTTAGCTTCATTGCCTCATGGCAATGCTGCTGTTTCCAGAGCATCAACCCCATTCAAGGTAAGAGGCTACATGGGGAAAAGGGGTTCTTCTTACCAGGAAGGAAGATGTTATAAGAAGCACCCCTTTTCTGTAGCCAGAAACGGCCACGTGGTCCCCCTAGCAACAAGGAAGGATGAGAAAGCAGGCCTCCAGGCAAGGATAGGGTCAGGGGTGAGTCTGAGACTGGTCACAGCTCAAGTCCCAGAGTTGGGATGGTGACCGACTGACTTACAGACAGGGTCCTGCTGAGTCATTGAATTGCCCTGAGTGAGCTCAGACTCAGGCTACTCCTGCCTCAGCCTCTCAGAGCGCTGGGATGACAGGCGTGCGCCACCACACCAGGCTAGAATCCACCTTACTGCAAACAGCAGACTCTGGGAGCGCCCGAGCACCGGGCTGGGGGGTGCAGAACAAGGAGGGACACCGGCCCCGCCCACCCGGGCCGTCGAGGAGGCGTCCCGTGGTCCCCGCAGCGGCCCAGCATGGGCCCCGTGTGCCCTTACACGCAGAAGCCAGGCGAGCCGGCCAGGGTTCGGGGACCAGTGTGCACATGTGGGAAATGCAGCCCAGCCCGGCCTCTGGTGCTGTGGGGGATCCCGCTCCGGGGAAGGGGCCAGGAAGCCAGAGGGCCCAGCACTTGAAAGATTCAAGGACCTCCGGCGTGGTGGAGCAGGTCTGTAACTCCAGCATTCGGCAAGCCGAGGCAGCCAGCCTGGGCCACAGAGCAAGTTGGAAGCCGGCTACATAGGAGAGCCCGTCTCGAACAAAAGCCCTTCCGGCCCCGAGACTCCGCTTCCCGTCCGACTCCTCCGGTCCAAGCTCAGAATCAGAGGCCAGGGTTTTGTTTTGTTTTGTTTTTGTACCAGGGACCGAACTCGGGTCCTTGAGCTTGCGCAGCAGGAGGTGAAACCACTGAGCTAAATCCCCGGCCCGAAGCCAGGGTTCAAAAACAAGGAGTCCCCGCACCTGGTCACTTCCGGGCCTCCGAAGCCCCAGACGCTCAGCCCACCCGGCCGGCGCCCCGACCGCCGCCGCAGCGCCCCCTGGCGGCCCAGGCGCCGCAGTCCCCGCCGCCGCGCAGCCCGGCCCGACCTCGAGGACCGGGTCCCCGCGGAAGTCGGACGCTGGCGGGGCTGCCGAAGGCGGGCGGCCCCGGGCTTTCGGCCTTGCCGAACCTACCGGTTCCTCGGGCCCGGGGGCGAAAGGCCCTGCCGCAGCCGAGCGACGCGGCCACCCCGAGCGCAGGCGCGGGCTGAGCGCGGATTCTGCGCGGTCAGCAAGGTTTCGAACCAGCGCTCGCCGGCCGAAGCTGGTGCCGCTCGCATAAGTCATCCTGTTTTATAGACCATTAGGATCTCCGGAGAGAACCTGCTCGAGACCACTGCTTTCTGTTGAAATTAAAATGTCAGGGAGAAAGAAATAGAACAAAACAGGGAATCTGCAATTAATTACCAGGCCATAAAAATTCAATAATCAGGAGGCAGCGCGGCCGCAGGCCCAGAGGTAGCAGAGCCGGCGTAACAAGAATGGAATACATTAATCTTTTCAAATTAGTTTTTTAATCTGACGGGGAGAGATGGTGACAGACTCCCTCCCCGCCTCGTCTCGGGCTGAAGCCAGCCTGGGGAGCAGGGGCCTACGACCGTCGGACCTGACAGGCACAGGGGAGCCCAGAAGCGCTGGGCAGCCTGCTCCCACCGGGCCCTAGGACGAGAGGAGTCGGGGCGCATGGCGCCCACAGGTCAAGGACAGCAAGCCAGGAGCACGGGACCGGACGTGTGCACACCTGTAACCCGAGCACCTGGGACGCTGAGGCAGGAGGATCCCTGCAAATTCGAGCCCAGCAGGGACTACACAACGAGACTGATTCAAAATATAAAACAGCCGGACATCGTGGTGCACGCCTGTAATCCTGGCACTTAGGAGGCTGAGGCAGGCGAATTGCTGCGAGTTCGAGGGCAACCTGGGCTACGAAGCGAAACCCTGTCTGGAATAAAAAATAGAAAGAAAAAAAAAAGGAGGGAGTGCCCAGTACCCGGCAGGTGCTCAGTAAAAAGCCCTCACTGTGCAGATCTGGCACCCGAGAGCACGGGTATCCCCAGCACGCTTTTCGGACGGCATTTACTCTGCGCTTGCTGCGTGCTCAGCCCCCAGGGAGGGGAGGGAGCCGCGGCCTCAGTCCAGGGACCGGCAGAGGCCCCCAGGCGTCCTGCAGGCTCCGCCCGCGCCGGGCCGCGGGGCCTGGCCAAGCTGCTGATTGGCCAGAGCGGCTGCCCCACCCTATCTGATTGGATGCTGCGCTCTCTGCTCCCGGAGCCCCGCCCTAGCCCTGGGCCAGCTCGGGGCTCTTTGCCCCGCCCGCCGCAGAAGATCCCGCGAGCCGGGAAGCTCCTACTCCGGGTGTGTCTGGCCTTCGGGGTTGCCTAATCGCCCTCAGTGACTCCCTCCGCTGCCAGTCTCACGCTGGGTCCCAGCCTGGGACTGCGTGCCCACCCAAGGTCACTAAATGGGCCGGGCGGGCGTGGTGCTCGCAAAACTCTGGGAGGCTGAAACAGGAGGATCACAAGTTCAAGCTGGAGAATTTAACGAGATCTTATCTCAGAACTAAAAAGTAAAACCAGGGCTGAGGATGTAGCAGCGTGAAGGCCCTGGGTTCAATCCTTAGTACTGGGGGGAAGTCTCCTAGTGTCACCACCCAGGTGGACTGCCCTTGGCCCTCGACTGCGACCCGACCCCAGGGCAAACCAGGAAGCAGCGCAGAGTTTTTCCGCAGCGCCCAGAGCCTGGCACGCAGTCGGAGCTCGATCAGTGGACACCCGAGCGACCGCCTGCCCGTCATTAGCTCCCAGGGTGTCTCCATGCCAGCCAATGATCCTGACAGCGGCTGCCATTTTGGTGGGTCCCGGGCTGTGGACTCGAGGGTCCCAGAAAGGAAACCGAGGCTCAAAAGGCCGGCAGGCCAGAGGTCACAGGCTTCTAACTTCATCAGTCAGCCCGCTCCGGGGTTCCGAGTCCCGAACCACATCCCTCCCCTTGCTCGAGCCCCATTCCTCCATCCTCTCTGGGACACCCTCGTGCTACCTGTATTCGGGTCACACCTGTTACACTGACGCCCTCCACACGCACATCCACATGTGCGCTTGGGCTCGGCAGAAAGGATGGCTAGGGAAAAGCAGCATAGCCAGGAGGGCCATTGGATTGGTGCTCTCGGGTCCAGGTGTCTACACCTCGGGCGCAAGGTGGGAGAAGCCAGACCCCGGGATGCGCCGGCGGACCACGGCACCAGTGCAGTTCCACGCGAGGCCACAAGAGGACGCGCGGCTGCCGGGCGCTGCTTGCAGGAAGGGGATGGGGCCGCCAGGTGGCGCCCGAGCTGCGGCTCCGCGGGCAGGGCCGGCGCAGGGTGGAGCCAGGAGTCCCAGGCGGGTCCGGAGGGTCCGTGGCGCTGGGCCTCCCGCCGCCTCTCCGCGCCATGACCCAGCCCGTGCCCCGGCTCTCCGTGTCCGCCGCGGTCGCTCTGGGCTCGGCCGCACTGGGTGCTGCCTTCGTCACCGGCGTCTTCCTGGGTGAGCGGGGCCGGCTGTGCGCGCGGGCGAGCGGGGAGGAGCGGGCGGCGCCCGGGGCTCCGGGCCCTGACAGTGCATCTTCTCGCGCAGGGAGGCGGTGGCCCCCGTGGCGATGCCGGCGACAGCAGTGCCTGCTGCCCCCCGAGGACAGCCCCCTGTGGCAGTACCTACTGAGCCGCTCCGTGCGGGAGCACCCTGCGCTGCGCAGCCTGCGGCTGGTCAGCGGGGCCGGAGCGGGCGGCCCCACGTGGCAGGGTGACCTTGGCTGCGCGGTGGCCTCCGCTGGGCTCCCGGGTCACCCGGGCCCTGGGACCTTGCCTGAGGGCCACACCACCCCCGCGCCCCCAAAGACCCGGGTCCCGAGGCGGGGTGGGTGACGGTATGGTGTCCCTGTCCCCACAGCTGACCCTGGAGCAGCCGCAAGGGGACTCTATGCTGACCTGTGAGCAGGTGCAGCTGCTGGCCAACCTGGCGCGTCTCCTCAAGGCCCGGAAGGCGCTGGACCTGGGTAGGCGCGCGGCGGGGATACTCGGGCCCCGGGTCCCGGGGTCCCAGCGCTGAGCTGTGCGCGCCCCGGTCCCCAGGCACCTTCACGGGCTACTGCGCCCTGGCGCTCGCGCTCGCGCTGCCCCCCTTCGGGCGCGTGGTGACCTGCGAGGTGGACGCGGAGCCCCCGGCGCTGGGGCGGCCCCTATGGCGACAGGTGAGTGTCGCGCGCCCCTGGGCGGCGTCGGCCCGGTGAGAGACCGCGGCGCTGACCTCGCTCCTCCCGCAGGCCGAGGCGGAGCCCAAGATCGACCTGCGGCTGCGGCCCGCGCTGGAGACCCTGGGTGAGCTCGGGGCACTGACAGCTCCTACCGCCACCTCGCGGTGCGCGGCCACGTGCGAGCAACCTATCCCCCTCTCCCCGCCAGACGAGCTTCTGGCGGCAGGCGAGGCCGGCACCTTCGACGTGGCGGTGGTGGACGCGGACAAGGAGAACTGCGCCGCCTACTACGAGCGGTGTCTGCAGCTGCTGCGACCCGGAGGCGTCCTCGCAGTCCCCCGAGTAAGAGCACGCGGGGTGCCAGGCGGCAGGCACCGCCCAGGGCTGGGGCTGGGGCGGGCCGGGCCCTCCCCCGTCGTCGCCTCCGGCTGCGCCGCAGCCTATGGGTTCCTCCCCTTGCGGGTCCCGCTTGGGCCCGAGTCTCCAGCACTCTCCCCGCCTCCTCCTCGGGCTCCGCCCCGTGACGCCCCGCCCCCCGCAGGTCCTGTGGCACGGAGAGGTGCTGCAGCCTCGGAAAGGCGACGTGGAGGCCGAGTGCGTGCGAAATCTGAACGAGCGCATCCGGAGAGACGCCAGGGTCCACATCAGCCTCCTGCCATTGGGCGATGGCCTCACCCTGGCCTTCAAGATCTAGGGCCGGCCCCTAGCATGTGGGCTCCAGGGAGGTTACCTAGAAACCCAGGCACTGACCCTGAATCTTCAATCCAACAATAAAGTGGGGCTGGGGCCCCGACCTCCAGAGCCTCCTCCCTGGTGATGGGGGGGTGGGGGCGACTGAGTCAGCCATTCAGCCCTCCCTGGCCCTAAAGCTGTGACCCTACCGTCTCCACCTGCCCTCAGGCTTGCCTGGCCTCACAGGGCGTGAGGGCGGGTGCAAAGCATCCACTCTCATGTGCACATGCGTACACACGCCATTGATCTGCCTGGTCTCCCAGGTGAAGTTCCAGGGTCTGTGCACGGGACTAGAGGGGGACCCCATCCAGGATGGCAGTGGGAAGGGGGATCTGCAGGCCCAGGGCGATCACGCACTTTTGGAGGCATGCGGTTTTCCCAGAACTGTGGAGTCCCTAGCCCCACCCCTGCGGCAAACCCCAAGCAGCGCCATCCCATCTCAGAACCAGGCCCCTCTGTCTCAACGGGACACTGAGCTTGCGAGGACACTTTCCTGACATCCCGCACATCCGTCCCTTTCCTCCTGATTCATAAGGCTAACGGTGCACATGAGTGCACTTTACGCAGATCCTTACAAGCTCACCTGTGCGCACTTCCTGACCCTGACCAGGTGAATCCCGCTGCAGAACGAGCACCTTAGCCAAGGGCCAGTAGGCCCTGGCGCCATCCCAAGTACAAGGAGTTGCGTTTCTGTGCAGCTCACAGACACCTTTGTTTTCTTACTTGGCACTGGGTCCTGACTCAGTGCCACCTGATCTCTCGGGCTTGTGTCTGGGAGAGCCCTCTGGAGAAGCCATCTTCAGAGTCCCTGGCTGCCTGGCCAGTCCCTCAGGACAGAGACCAGAGGGCCTTCGTGCCCCAGTCCCCGTGTGGAAAGCCTGCCTGAGCTTCCCCCGAATCGGCTTCTCACCCGGAAGCTGGCAGCATGTACAATTTCTTAGGTGACCAAAGTATACCACCTTCCAAGCTTCAAAGAGAACTTGAGGTCTCATGTTACAGATCTGTTCGCCAACACTCCTTCTCTAAACCTTTCATTTTATCCTTGACTCCCTCTGATCAGGGCTCCCTCCTCTCATCAGAAAACTTGATCTTTTCCTACTTTTCCAACCAAAATCATGCATCAATGTTAACCACTCGAGTCCAGATGAAGGTCAAGTGGGCCACCCTGGCTCGTTCCTTGGCCCCAACATAACTTCTCACCAGGACCTATCCAAGGGCAGACCAAAAAGCTGTTTCAGTGTTTAAAAATGTATTACAGTAAACGACAATGCCAGTAACCCCCTTCAAAATATTCCCTCACTTCACACTTTATCCCATCATCCTTGTCACCTTCTGGCAAGTTCTGGCAAGTTTTTGTCATGAGGTATGATCAAAAATACTACAGTATCACTGCACCATCCATGGAAAGGCACACGTGTAAAAATATCCAATGAACCTCATCCACGTTATCTGTCCATCTGGCTCTGGGGAACTTTTGGCTCTTCCTTAAAGTCAAAATGGCCATGAAAGGCAAACGTTTTGAACATGGACAGCCATAACACAACTGATGACACTCACAAAAGAGGACTTCCAGAGTCCCATTTGACCCCCGCTATTCCCCTGCTGGGGATCTTCCCCCAAAGAATTAAAAGAATCATACCACAGTGATACATGTGCACCCATGTTCATAGCAGCAGAGTTTGTGATAGCTAAAACTTGAAAGCAGCCCAACTGCCCAACAACTGGAGACTGGATAAAGAAAATGG